ATGAAAAAATATATATATATATATATACACGCATATAAAGCCTTTGTGAAAATGTTTTAAAATCCCTCATATGATTAGGGTATGAGCTGGGCTTAATTAATTAAGTTCTATGAGATCTATATAAATAGTGAGAGAGTATTTTTCAGAAAATTTACAGTCACTGAGAAACTCCTCTGTGCTGCATGGACAGAAAGACAAAGCAGGTCAAGGCCCTTACTGTTCAATGCATTCGGCTAAAACAGTTACAAGAGCTCAGACAATTACAGTCACTGAACTGTAAGACTGTTTTTAAGAGCAGGAAAAAAATGCACCAAAGCATTATTGGGGAATTATGAGTGCTGAGACAACAGCCAAAAAAGCTAGTGACGAAACTAGTGAGGATTCTTTACTCCATCATGATATACATTTACTTTAACAAATAATCAATTAATAATATACTCTACAGAATGGAACAACACAACTCCTACACACCCACAGAAACGTCTTCAAATTGCTTCATTTATCCAACTAACAGAAAAGCGGCAAATCCCAACGTTCAGGAAGCTTTCACTTGCAAATGTCCGACATGTTTGTGTGAAAAATTACTGATTTAAAAGATGAATTAATTACAGGAGTCTAACCTTTTGTTCAACCCGCCAGTGTAAATGGATAAACTAAAAAAATATCCACTAAGTACAGATTGTATTTCTTATTTGAATATTTGATTTTAGTATTTGTATATTTCTGATATTAGGCATCTACAGGCTTGCTCCAACAATATTTCGTTGTACTTGTACAATGACAATAAACATATCTTATCTTATTCAACAATCAAAGTAAACTTTGCAAAGAGAATGTGTCGATGTTGGGCTGTTTCCCCTGGGAATTTGCATAAAAAAGATTTGTAAGAGTAACAGGTGAGGCCAAACCCCCTGTGTGGAGAAATGCCACTCAAATCAGCTGCAGCTTGATTGATCATCTCACAGAACTAGTTCACCTCCTATTGTGTCTTTTGGAAGAGGATTGTAAAGTTTAACAGCAGACTGAGTTGTCCTCCTTTTAGAATAGAATAGAATTACTTTATTGATCCCAAACTGGGAAATTGTGGCGTTACAGCAGCAGGTTATCCAAACACACAATATGAGCAAAAAACACAATGTTAGCAAATCTAAACACAATATAATATTAAATACAAAGTAAATAAGCACTAAAAATATCTAAACTAAGAATGTGAATATATACAACCAGGATTTGACTATGTGCAAAAACAGAGTTGTAAATTAAATATGAAAGATTAAATGTAAATGTGCAAAATATAAATAATACATTTTGTTTTTCAACGGCATGTATTTGCAGGTGTACAAAGCAAATCTGCACTGTCAGATATATCAGTAGACTTGGATGTGAAACAGTATGTGTGTATATAAAGGCTTTAAAAAAAAAAAAAATCGAGCGACCTGTGGTTGTGGTTAACTTTTTTTTTCTTATTTCCTCTTGACTTCTCAATTCAACCCTGACAGGAGGCAGTTTTTCTTCTTTCTTCTTGAAATAGTCCTCTCTCAAGAAAGCCTTATTAGTCATGCTGAGACAACATCCTCTTTGACTGCTGACAAGGTCCAGAAAGAAAGACCTAAAAGACTTGCAATGTCTAGCCCCTGAACATAAACACTTGACTAACACTTTTTATAACTACTTAATGCATCTGGGTACACAGTACGAGATTTCTGATTGTATAAAAAAAATGCTGGTTAAGGATGCATGCATGTGTGTGTGTGTGTGTGTGTATGCAAAACCATTAAAATGCACTGAATCCGCTTGTAAGGTGACATAAAAACAGATTCCTCAATCAACCTGACAAGTCCTAGATAACATTAACATAAACTAGCCGACGGCAATTTTCATTACAATACTTGAATCGCAAACATATGCAGTACGGAAATGAATTAAATGTAATTTCCGCATTGTTTGCAAATGAAATCACAGAAATGAGCGACGCGGACAGCAGAGCTAAAACCACACAGCTGTTTGGTGAGTTCAGAAGCCTAGCAGGCTAACTAGTTAGCAGACACAGCTAAGTAACCATTGGTTAATAATGAGCTGTTGTTGCTCTGACTTATTTCATTATGGATACGCCGTTGTGTTAGATATAGTCAGAGTCAGGTGTTCAACCTCTATTCCCGCAATTACACACTCCACATGTGCTGTTTCCATGTCAAGTCTGATTGAATGAAAATTAGCTCGCTAACAGTGTTAGCTAGCTACCCAACCCAGTTTAGGGCTCGCTCGCTGGCTCAGACGCTGACAGCCTCACTTCCTGTTTCAGCAAAAAAATCGTTCGACATAAACGACACCGTTTGAAGAAAGCCACGGTTTATAATAGTGTGTCAGAGCAAAAGCAGTGAACTCACCCCGGTCCCATTGTCACAGACCACCACTTTCCTTCCCTGGCTGTCCATTATGTAAAAGCCCCAGTTGCCGCTGAACCTTCCTCAACTTTCTTCAGCAAGCCGGAAGGAAGACACACCAACCCGGGCGAGAGGGGAGGAAGGGAAGGGTGCTCATCCGGTGTGCGTGTGTGTGTGTGCGTGTGTGTGTGACAGAGCACTTCAGATGACAGTCACTTCACTCAAAAAATAAATGCACAACTTCAAAGTCTTTATTTTACAAGCTCAAAGTTATCTAATGTTGCACAATATGCAACGCGTACAAAAAGAGTTATGTCTCTTCGTTTTGAGGTTTAAATGTCATTTCTTGCCCCAATAACAATCTGGATCATCATCATAACTTATAAATGAGTCTAAAAAAAAATCCTTATTTATGATTTTGAAAAGATACATTTTTGGTTAATCTTTTTTTTTTTTTTAAATGTAATTATTTGTTGATTATGCATTTTTATTTTGTAGGTGGTTATTTATATTAATGACACAACTGCAGGTTTAAAGTTCTGTAAATGGGCAGGGAGTGATCAATAAATGCAACAAGATGTACAGAAAGATTATGTGTAGCAAAATCATGACTGACTACTAAATTACCATAAATGTAAGGAAGGTTTTTTTTTGTTGCAGAGTTTCAGACAAGGAAGCTGAAATGTATCTCTCAAAGGTTGTTGCAAGATAAAAGTGGAATCAAAAGTCGAGTAACCAGCTTTGATGGCCGAGTAGCAGCATAAGATTAAAAAAAAAAAAAAGAAGGGAAGAACCCTTTTAAATAACCTTTAAAAGAAAACAACCAAACACTTTTCAAAAACATCCAAAAGGTAACTTCTCTCGGTCACCTTTAGTACTTAAACCTTTTATAATAAGCTGACTTCTTTTATAAAAACAATAAATAATCAAACATAATTTACGGCGGGGAGCTTGATTTAAGATTCTATAGAGTTTGAGTGTGAGTTAGTTAAAACCTAAACATACTTTAACAATTACCTATTATTATTATTATTATTATTATGAACATTGTACAGTGCACACAAACAATAGTAAAACTGCAGAACAGTTTCTGTGCATTTGAAACATTAATGTACATTTGAATTTAAGCAAGGACCTGGTACAGAGAGAGAATTTAATGGCCAGTAGGTGGAGTATTTTGACCAAAGCAGGATCAGCACTCTGTTTGTGAGTCCATAATTCCTTGCTTCCAAAAGAAGTGTTTATGTACTGTTTAAATATAGTTTAAGTGCAAACATCACACTTCACTGTAATTCAGGTGAACAGCACTCTTTGGGTACGAGCACGGCTGGGAACATGAGGACCTTGGCCCGCATGAAAGACAGGTTAGGCAGTCCAGAGAGCACCCTGTTGGCCTCCTCACTCAGCTCTTCATCCTTCTGAGGTTTCCTAAAAAACAGACACACAAATTATATTCAGAGATTAAGGTACACAGAAAAGACAATGACATTTTTAATTATTTAAAAAAACAATACTATGATAATAACATATGCATATGTTGACCTGACTAAAGTGGTAGTTTTCTCTGCAGCTGACATCAGGCGATTGAAAGTGTCCTCCATGTGGATTATGGTAATGCTGGTTTCCAGTTTGCTGATGGTCAACTCATACAGCTCATGGTCAACTCCTTCACATATAAGTGTATACACCAAACACACATATCAAAGAGACAATGAGAGTAGAGGACTTACACGCCCACAATATTAGCTAAATTTAGCATCAGTCTATTTTTATCACAAAGGATGCAACGCTGTTTTCTTAAATCATAGACCTGATAAATGACACAAAATTTGCATTTCTACACAATCACACGCTGACCTGGAGGAGGACTGTTGCTACCGCTGCTGCTGTTAAGGGACGTACTCTCCTCCTCAGGACCAAAATAATCCAGGTTGAGTGCAGAGCAGTCTGTGCTAACAAGAGGACACAGAGGCTGAGGTTTGTTGTGGGCTGAGGAGGGACAGGGAGACTTGATTTCTTATTCATAAAAGGAGAATGAGCATCTACTTATCACATGTGATGTTTTCTCCTTTTACTGAGGCAGTGATGAGACACACACAGCACAGAAAACTCAGGAGCATAATGCAAAGCTGCTGTTATTAAACTTCATATATCATTTATATCTGAATTAAGAGGGCCTAATTCACAGTATTCATTCTGATGCAAATTAGGTGATATTTAAGGATATCAAAAGTCTGACATGATAATAATTTAACTTGATTCAACCCTCTGCATAAAATAAGTATTTTTTAAACCAATTTTCAACAGAACAATTTTACAAACAGTTAGGATACATCTAATTCTAAGAAAGGAGGAATCAATCCCACGTTTGAAGATATTGTGTCTGCTGATACAGCAACAAGTTCAACATGTATCTGTTATAATGTAAAAATGTTACATTCAGTATTATGAAGTTAGAAAAACTGTAAGGACTGAAAAGGCCAGATTGTATTTTTAAACTGTTCTTTATCATTGGAATAAAACAATACTCAAACTTTGCATTAAAGCACAGAGAAAAGTAATACAGCCTTCAACAAGAGAAATAAACGGAGGAGGAAAGATTCAAAACAAAGCCGAGAGGATCAACTGGTTTATTTGAGTATTTACAAGGATTTCAAACTAGTCTTAATTGCAGTGCATTCAATCTGGATTTGAGCAGTACATCTGAAGAAATAAAGAAACACTTTTGTCAACAAACTATAGGTCCAGAGAATCTCACCATTTGAAACAAAAAAAAATACTTCTTTTTTTTTTAAAGAATTGCTGGTATAAAGGCACAACTCATCATGAAATACTGTAATTGCAGTTACAGAAGACTTGTGGAAACACTGTTGGTTTGTAATGAAATGCTCAAAAGCAGATTTTCTTTCTTTCATTTCTTTTTACTTCAATGCTTAGGAAATAAAACCTCTTTTATCATATTGAGCATGCTCATACAGTGTATGCTTCAGTGGACGGCGCTTTGAAAAGTAAAAAAAAGGTATAAATAAGTCAAATAAGTGACAGCAGTCGGCAAATCTGCTGCCTTCTCTCTGCTCTGCTCACTTTAAATCTTCAAATCATGTCGCAGAGGAAGACAAAACTCAAAGACAGATGTCATATGAACATGTGAAAAAATAACATTATGGAATTTATATAACTGACTAAAACTAATGCTTTAATGCATTAGTGGTCACTTGCACAATTAAGAAATGAGGGACTTTTGAGTCTTTTGCTTTGTTCCTACAGTAAATACTGTGACTGTGTTTAAGATTTTGGCTTAAAATACTCTGCCCTCTGCTGGGCATACATTTCTATTACAACACTTGACTGTTGTAAATGTGTAGTAATTGTTTTCTTGATCTTGTCTGATCCCTAAATAGCTGACTTTTTTTAGGTGATTCAAACTGAACAAACCGATCTTGGCAAAGATGAGTATTCGCTTTAAATTAGTATTTATTCCAAACCTAGGAGGGAAGGTGCTTGTATTAAATATAAGTATTAATATTGTCTTAACTTGTAGACCCAGCTCATCTCGGTGTCTTTAAGAAACTACAGGTAAAGCTTCTGATCTCTGACAAACAGTGCGTCGGTCTGCATGCTCCAAACCATAACTACAAATGTATTAATCAATCACAGTTATCTTTATGAGCAATTAATACACTACAGTGTTTCTCCCTTAAAATAAATGAATGATACTTTAGTGTCAGATCTCACACTTCATTAAATTACAATAGCTGTAAAAAACTACTGCACCAGATGTGACTGTTTTAAACAAATATATATGTTTTTTGTTTTCCTGATTAGAGAATGACTGCTTACTGTGTTGGTTTCTTCTGATCTCTCTTTTCTAACTTGTGTCTAACATAACTGAGGGAAACATGAAACCCTTTGCATGTAAATATAAACTATTAATACCTTTTAAAACAAGGACATGTAAGGGTTAAAAAAAAAAAAGATGATGCCGTCAGATCTTTAGGATAACTTTAGCTGAATAATACATTCATGCACTTGGCAAACGTTTGACTTAAGTATTAACACTGCACGAGTTTGGCGTCCACAGTAATAAATTAAACTAAAAGCTCCTTTAGATAAACATATATATTCAATCAACAAAGCACATATTGTTGCTCTGCTTCTTGTGTTGACAAATATTTGGTTCAGCGTTTGGTGCTTTGAAAATCTGACATGAATTTGGCATTAACAACCGATTTCTTTTGTTAGCACAACTTTAATATCAGAATGATTCATAGTAACAGTATGCACGTTTTTTAGTAGTCTGCACATAAGTTTTTTAGAAGTCTTTACCACTATCCGTTTTTACCACATTAACATGACCACACGGTTACCTCGTAACAAGTGGAACTGATAGATTTTGAGATAAAGAGGGAACAATAGGTAAACATGAGACACTAGATTAGCTGAAGGAGGGAGAGTTCAGCGTTTCCCCTGTTTATCCTCTGTGACCAGCGGGGGAAAAGATCTGTTTGGCTGTCTAACTTTGAGTCCAGGTTTGGGTATGAGGAATTTTTTACATCATTAAATGTTTCTTTTTTTCAGAGAAATTTATATGAAATTACTTGTTGTTTTTTATGAGAGGGAACTCATTTATATCAGACGTAATTGAGGGGAAACAAAGCTTTAAAAAAAAAGAAGCACAACATGCCATAAAGGAACTGAGGAGTCGTCCAGATGAGTCAAGAGCAAACTCTAAAGAGATTTTAAAGAATTTTTGGCTAATAAGAAGAAGCCACATAGGGGATGGCTGAGACTGAAGTCTATTTCCAACCCCAGAAGTGAGGGGCTCGGCGAGGGGACGTACCATCCTGAGAACTGCTAAGGCCACGCCTGCTCCAGTCCAACTGGCTGGAGGGAAGCTCCTCCTTCACAGAGAGAAGAAAACTGAATAAATCAGCAACTGAATACAACAGCTTTGTTTGTGATTGGTTGAATACATGTTTTTTTTTTTTTAAATATCTAGTAGCTGCAGCATGAATTATCTCATGTTTTAAACATTTGAAAGCTTTAATTTGTCAAATAAAATGAACTTATTTACCAGCACTGAATCTGTTGAGGGGTGTGATGTGATCCGAGGCCCTGGAGATGTCCGTGTTGTGACCACCATGTGTCCAGGAGAACAGACGGCTGGCGCAGAGTCTTTGGTTGGCTCCAGCATTCCCTGATGAGTGACAAGGGGGGAACAATTCTAAACAATTCTAAACAAAAGGTTTGTAGCATGGATTGTCATTGATAACAGCAGCTGAGTAAAATATACAGCAAATGGAAACCTGTAATCCTACACCATGACAATGCTTCTTCTTCCAATAAGACCAAATTCATTTACTTCAATCTAACAATTGGCTCACCAGGCTGGATGCAAAAGCAGGGACGGCCACTGGCCTCTTCTTCATCCCCATGTACACCTTTCAAAAGGCAAACACCAACAAATGTATTTATTTTCATTTTTATATACTTTATTCATCCCCTAGAGGAAATATAGGTTTACACTCTTCTCATACACACAGGCCCAAAATACACACAGGCCCAAAATACACACATACACACATGCACAAACAGGATTTGTGGACATGCATTAATGGAGAGATGTCAGAGTGGGGCTGCTACACAGAGAGCGCGCTAGAGCTGGTGGGGGGGGTTTGGTGCTTTGCTCAAGGGCACCTCGGCAAATACAGCAACCAGACCAACCTCCATACTTCGGTCCGTACTTGAATTGGCGACCCTCTGGTTCCCAACCTAAGTCCCTACAGACTGAGCTATTGCAGTTCTGTTTAACAATGGTGTTAAACAGAAGTGAGTTCAATGTAAAAAAAACATCAAATCTAGATATTACAGCGTTGCTAAGAGAATAAACACTCCTGTGTCATCTTGAGCATACTCATACAGTGTATGCTTCAGTTCACAGATGTTGTAAATGAAAAAGGTAGGTGAAAAAAATAGGTGACAGCAGTCTGAACATCTGCTGCCTTCTGCTCTGTCAGTGTTACATTTTCTATTTAAATCTTTGAAATAAGTGTTAGAAAGACATGGCAATTACTTCCCAAATACAGAATAAAGCAAAGACAGATGCTATTGAAACATATGCAAAAATGACATTAAGAAATACTTGTTGTAACAGAAGTCAAACTCATCTTTTAAATGAGTTAGTGGCTGATAACACATAAAATAAACTGACTTTAATGTAAAAAAAAAAAAAAAAAAAAGAAAAGAAAGAAAAAGGCATGTCTATAGATGTTACAGGGGATTATAGAAGTCTGTTTAGGACGTATTTAAGGACTTTTTAAGGAGCCATTTGGAAAGACATTGTTACTTGAGGTGTCCATGTTAATGTTATCTAATACATGTTGCATTTTAAGATTTTGTTGTTTCATTTATACAATGAAGGTTTACATGATCTATAGATGTTTTTGGTGTCTTTGTGTTCTTCTAGTCCATCTTACATCTGCAGACCACACTGGAATAAATAGTGTTAATGTAATTCATGTAAAAACTGAATAATTTGCTGTCTCACAATCAACAGAACGTGACAACTTGTGAGCTTATTTTGCTCTATGTTCATTAGGAATATACCAACGGTGAAGGATTTCCTCTGGCTTTCAATTGGTCAGTTACTTGTGAAGATGCTTTTGGGCTTGCTGATATCTGCTGTTTTAATGTTATTATCATGTTTTGTCAAACTCACAATGTTCCTTGTGTCCACACCGAGGCACCGGAGCAGAGTCGTGTTTGTGTGGGAACCTCCCCACTGAAACTGGAGGCCAACTGCACTGTGGAGGTCAGGATGTTGCCACCACATCCCCCCCTGAGTCCTGCGTAAGAGTGAGGAAATACCTAAAGAGCTTTAAGGTGTATTCAGACGCAGTACAAACAAAAAGGGGACAAGGGAAAATACAAGTGGAACTGTGAAACATCTGAAATGCCAAGGATGGCCATATAACGTACAAAAAAAATCCAGGTAGATTTAGTCACTGAACCTAACACTGGGTTTGTTTTTGTTGCTCCTTCATGAGTCACTTGTGCTGACCATGTTTTGTTGCAAATTTCTTCCAGCTATCGTGAATTTCTAAGAAGTCATCCTCACCACTGAGATCTTGAACAGTGAGGCTGTGTCTCCTCCTCCTCACTCTCTGGGGAGTGAAGCAGAGCACCAAGGCCGAGCACCTCGACCTCACCTTCCACAGCTGGGACCTCCATCTCTGGGAAACTGGCAAGCAGGAGCTGCTGGACACGGTCGGACAGTGACTTCTAGCAAGAATTAAGAGAATATGGTGAGTTCTTACTGGCCTGTTAAGTTTATTATGGTATGCATTTTGAAATACTGTGTGATATGTAAAAACAACAGATCAGGGTTGTAACAAAACCACAATTTTAAAATTAGACAGGATACTAATCAAATCCAACAATACCAGTTTTGATACCAAAGCAACACAATACTGGGTCATTACTTGTTTTGAAATACCAAATATTGCAAGCAAACTCCTGCCAGCTATCTACACTGTCTCCTTAATAAAAATGTTTTTGCTCCTTTATCTTGGTCTTGGTATCTGATGTATATTCTGTAATCATTTGTTGTTTGCTCTATGTGTGAAAATGTTGAGCCGCTGTCTTGGCCAGGACTCCCTTGTAAAAAAAGATTGTATATCTCAAAGGGAATATTACTTTTGTGGACTTTAGAAAGTTCTCCCTCTTCCACATGTGGCAACCTTTGGTTCAAAATATGCCTGAAAATCTCTTTGTCTTTTAAAAAGCTTTGGTACTTTCAATTGATCATAACAATAACAGAGATTGTGTCATTTTAAAACACATGGTACTGAAAACTTTAAAAGTACTGATCATTTTGAGAACCTTTCAATAGACGGCCCCTTGTCAATAATAACATATATCCTCTGTGAGCACCAATTGACTTAAAAAACAACCACAACAACAATAAAGCCAGTTTTCAGGGAAAACATGTCCCACCTGACAGCTGTTCCTCCTGGTTTCTCCATTCTGGCCCTCCCTGCCTTGCTCCTCCTCTATGCTCCCATCAAACTCTAGGGTGTTGACTTTCTCTTGGGACCGGCTCAAAATTGTTCCCTCCTCTGGGTTCTTGAAATCTGCCCACGCGTCCTCCCCAGCCTCCAGCGTGGGTGCTGAGCAAAAATCTGCAAAGCTGTCACTCGGTGGGAGGTTTCCCAGAATCTGCAACCCTGCATCAGCTGTTTGGACTCTTCCTTGGTCCCTGCGGTGCTCAAACCCACTGTCTTTAAAGTCTGCACATTTGTTTTCCGAGTGAGATCCAGAATGTGAGGTAGCAGAAGTTTCCTGAGTCGCAGATTGGTTGAAATAATAAGAACCCTTTCCTGTGATAGACTCTCTAAGATCAGCAGTGTTGTTATTTACAAAAGGGTCTGAATGCTGGAAGTTTTCAAGTTCTTCCTCATCATCAGTCTGGTCCCAGTCAGTCTGTTCCTCTGGTGAACCAAGAGATGAAACATTTGGTTCCAAGTCAGCAGAAGGACCTTCAAACGACCAATCATCATAGAGGGAGACGTCTGAAGCGGACTCACACCCACTGAATGTTTCGGTGACAGTATGAATTCTCTTCTCTTGATCCTCTCCGTCTTTACCTGATTCTCCATCCTTCTGCATCCCTCTGGTCTCCTGGTCTCCAGGATCACCTATGTCCTCCTCTCCGGAAAGAGGCTGTTCAGATGGAAAATCCAAAGCTGCTGCAGCAGCTTCCTGAGGTTGTTGTTGGTCCTGAGATGATTGCACACATGCTGCATCTCTTTTCTCACAGTGCTGGAAAGTGCAAATGTTTTCTTTTGCCTTGGATTTACAATAAGATCTGGGCTCTGACTCCATAATGACCTCCTGATCTGGATCACAGATTTTTTCAGCTAAGCTGTTGGAAAAGTTTTTCTCATCTATTCCAACTAAGGGAGTAAAACCACAGCACCAGGGATGAGCAGCCTGCTCTGTAAACACGGTGAAATCAGCAAAGCCTGTTTCCTCCCTGGGAGAGAATGCATCCACTGCAGAGGCTGCAGAGTTGTGGTCTCTTTCTGAGTACCCATTTGTGAGGTGCAAAGGTGACTTAGCATCACAGTTCTGCTCTTCCGTGTTATTATGGCCCTTGCTGGACCCTGAGGTCCCAGTAAAAGTGGGTTGAGATTGTCCTACTGGGCGGCTACAGCTGCAGTGGGGTTGGTGGGTGGCTGGTTTCATGCTGGGAAAAGAATATCTGAGGCTGGATGGTGGACCAGAAGAATCAACAAAGCCAGGGGGAGAGCAGGACGCCCCTAAAGAGAATCCCCCAAAATCTCCAAACTCGTCCTCCTCTGATCCCGCTTCACCATCATCATCATCCAGTGGAGGAGGGGAGGAGGAGTACAGGGGCATGATGTGTGGCTCCATGGGTTCTCCTGTTGGGATCTGAAGGCCTCATGCACCTAGAAGAGCAGAGTAAGACAGAAGAAAGAGGAGCATCAACAATCAATTCATTTTTGTAAATGAGCAAAACATTTTAGTGTGTTGATATGGGTATGTACTCAGCACAATATTGTCAATCTTTTCAATCCTCAAATGTAATTAATAAACAAGTTTTCCAACATAGCAGATTTTTTTTTCATTCCAAATAGTTTAGGGCATGAGGTCAAAGATACCTTAGTAGCTAAGACAGGCGAGCACAACACTGGGAAAAGATCTCAGGATTGAATAATACTTCCTTAACTGCAACTTGTTTCCAAATAGTCTGCGTGTCATAGGCTATTTCCTGGTTAAATAGTTAAGGCACATTTAATTGTTTTGTTTTGGTTGAAACATTCAACAGACCGTAGTGGAAATAGAGGAAGCTGCAAAGTAAACACATGGGTCGTTCCGCATGTAAAATCTGACCTTTAAAACACAATTTCACTTTGTCGTATCCCCTTTTATTGTCTCAAAGGGTCAAATTCTAATATTTATCTGAGAAACCACAGCCTGCCCCCCATTCCTGTACTTATCCTGTTGTGGAAAAAAAAAAAAAAAAAAGTGTCCAGTCAGTAAACTGATAGAGAAACTTTATCCGCAGCTTTGTACTGCTTAGATAACAAGTTCACAGCAGCCACTTCACGGTCATGGATAAGTGCCTGCATAAAACTATCCACACTAATACACAAGTTTCATAAGAAAATCAACAAGCTGCATTAAATCAAATAGTTTTTTTTGTTTGTTTTTTGTTTACAAAACAGGTTATTTAATCGTATTGTTTGACTTAAACAGGCAAAACAAGCCCTGATGCCTTGATGCCATTTTCTCCTGTCTATTATTGTCAGACAAGACAGACAGGTGTGTTTCCATGACATAAACAGCTGAATATAACGGGAGATAAGCAGAACTTGTTGATAAAACCTGAACACTTGTTTACCTAACGATGTATTGGAAGTAAAACTAGGCAGTCGTAAATCATTACCAGGGCGTCAGGGTTTAATATGAGGTGAGAAACCCACATCTCATCCCGCTGCGTTCATACCTCACAGTGACTGATTAGCTTACATGACCAGCAGCTAGCTCGTACAGCCAGTGCCTAGCTTAACGGCAGCTTTCGTAAAAAAAAATATATGAATAAAAAAGGCTGACATGCTACGTAAACTGGACAAACAGCGAGATGGCAATATAAAGTTATAGTTTTTTTTATTTACCTACACTTTGTCGTCTCTTTACTTCTTGTCTGTCAGTGCCGCAGCCTTGCTCTCCATCCTCTGTCATCATTCTCTCCAAGTATTTAATGGGACAGGAAAAAAAAATCAAGAGGTATCACTTCGTCCCGTTTTTCATATCCTGTAATTACGTACCAAGAAGAGCATTTGGGAGCGTCCATTTTGCATTTACTAGAAAGCTTCTTCTGAATAGACAATCTTTGATGTTAAGCGCGTTGGTGTAATAGCACCATCTGCTGGGGAGACCTCAGAATTAAAAATACTTAATCAATTCTCAATTCCTGGGGGAAAATAGAGCTCTGATGATACTTTTTCTGCTTACTTTGTTCTGCTTCTTTACTGTTATGACTTGGATTTTGTTAACAGTTAACCAGAGTGCCATCAAAGCTCTGTACTCGTGTTGAAAAACACTAAAGCTACCATAATATGGTAATATCTGGTTGTATTTCTGTGCAAAAATAACCTGGAATGCAAAAATGTACTACTAATATACTGGGATAAATAAAGAAATATACCAGCATAACTTACCTTTTTTATATTCACAGAGCTTTTTTTTATATTAGAACAATGATATACTTTTTTTTGTTCAAGTTCAAGTTACTAAAGTAATTTATGTTTCAGTGTTTTTTATTACTTTCTTGGGTACTACTGAGAGAAGCATTACATGTCCTTACATTTGTGCCAAAAAAGGTAAAGCATTTGAACCAACCTATATGCAGTAGCATTTGGATACATAACGAACCGAATGTCGTGTTTTGGAATCTTGACGTGCAGTGTTTATGATGTATGTAGGTTTAATAAAGGGTACATAAGGAATTAATGTGGCTGCCTGGATTTTTGTATGGAGCTGGGACGTGAAGAACTACTCCCCATGCTGATATTTATCCAGTTTGGATGGCAGCGTGAGGTAGGTAGAAGACAGTGTTCTAAAAGTCTTTGAGAAATTAACAAAGAACATTGATGCAACATTAATTCTGAGTATTTAAAGGGATTGCTGTGAAAGACAGATGCTCTTTTATTACAGTTCATGAAACACATTTTTGAAATTTATATAGTAAGTATTTTGTTACAGGTTTGTAACTTGATGGCTAAGTCTCACATAAAGTTTTTTTTAATCAGCAAAAATCAGAGGCTGTGGCAGAGATCTCCAAAGCACCACACCAACAAAATGTCCCAAGAAAAATCTCAAAGGAAATATGCAAGTTATAAGAACAAGCACATCTTTGGTTGCTGGATATCCAGCTTTTCTTTTAGTACTAAGGTTAACATTACACCTCACTATGAGGAACCAAGAACATTCACTATAGAAAATGTAATTGACAAAACACTTTGTATCAATTTAAAAAAATTAAATGTATTTTAATAACATTAAACATTAAATTGAAAGCTACTATCTATCTGCATCATACAAATACCTTAAAACAATTAGCTAAAGTTCTTTATCCAGCCCGTTATAATAATAAAAAAGATGGCACAGAATGGTTGAGTGGACCTTAAGAGAGAGAGACAGACCCCTCTATCACTTGTTTATTGTTTTTGCTTTAAGTACAAGCAACATACAGTTTACATAAAATAGTGAACAATGAATTATTTTCTGATCACATGGACAAACTACCTTGTCGGTCGTCTGTGAACCAGAAGGTTGGGGGTTCAATCCCCAGTTCCTTTAGCCACACGTCTACGTGTCCTTGGGCAAGACACTTAACCTCAAATTGCTCCCTCTGCTGCGTGTGAATGTCTAGGAATGGATTAGTTAATACTGATGAACAATTTACATAGCAGCCTCTGCCGTCTGTGTGTGAAAAGGTGTGAACGGTTGGGTGTGAACAGCTGTGTCTAAAGCGACTTGAGCAGACAGAAGACTAGAAAAGCACCCTACAAGCTCAAGTCAATTTACCATTTCATAAAACAGAGGAATTCAGGGAAATGAGCAAAGATGAGGCTAAAGAGGAGCAGAGGAGTGAGTCTGTAGCCTCATCTGTAGAGTGTGTGGCAAAATCCTTATGGGCAGCCATGGCAGCCAAGACCTCGTAGACAGCTGAGCTGGTTTAAGGGATCGGATGTTTCGATGGTATAAAACCATTTTTGGCCGTGCCTGAGGGAGTATCGGTAAGGAGACGGTGAATTGAAGGAAGAAGCGGTCTGATAGATGCAGAGGGGTGACAGTCAGGTTAGACAGTCGAGCTGTTCTGAGTCAGAATCAAATCAAGAGCATTGCCTGCTTTGTGGGTAGGAGTGGGAACCTGCTTGAGGTCAAACAAGGACATGAGAGCTAGGAAGTATGCTGCCTAACTCTTCATGCCTAACATTTAAACACAATCTGGTATTTATAGCAGCATTGATGCTACAACCAAACTGTATATCGTCTAAATCTAATACAGGAGTGCGTATGGCTGAACAAGCAGTTTGAGTGGAATTTGGCACAAGTGCTAGTCTAAATAAAATCTGAGGAGATTACAGGAGCACAGAGTCCACGGAGAGGCAGGGGGGGGTCCATCAACCAAAAATGGAAAATGAGTAAGCTGAAGCAGCCAAATCACTCCAGCGTTTGACTCTTTGCATTTTCTTATTACCTACATTCAAGATATTGTTGTTGAACCTACCATCCCAAAACAACGGGTTCATTTTAATAGTCATTATCTTAAAAAAAAAGATGTTAGATAGACCGTTGTTGTCTTACATGTCTATAGGTTTTTTCTCCTCAACCTCTGGTCCTTGTTGTCTTTCACTGACGTATCGTTTCCATTGCTCGTGAACCTCAAAATGAACCTTCAGCTCTGAATTGGTGTAAAAGGTTTTGCCACACGTTTCACAGCGAAAAGTCTTCTTTTTCCGTTTGTTTTGGTTGCCTGTGCAGTATATCAGATGTGTTTTGTTGGAAACGCTCTGGCCACATTTCTTACAGTAGTATGGTTTCTCTCCTGTGTGCACCCTCAGGTGGACGTTGCGACTAGAGCTCTGAGTGAAGGTCTTGCCACAAAAATCACAGCTGAAAGGTTTTTCACCGGTGTGAACTCTGGAATGCTGAATGAGCTGGTACTTATACCTAAACTCTTTGTGGCATTCAAAGCATTTGAAGCGTTTCTCCACTTTTAAATCATCTTCAGTTTTCACTTTAACTGGTGGGCTCTGGCAATTTTTCGGCTTTTTGCAAAATTTTAAGTGCTTGCTTATAGAAAAACTTTTCCCACAATTCTTACAAAAATATGGCTTTTCTCCAGTATGCACCCTCATATGAACAATTCGACTTGAGTTCTGTGCAAATGTTCTGTCGCAGAAATCACACTTGAACGGTTTTTCACCCGTGTGTATTCTCGTATGCACGACAAGGTGTGGCCTTTGGTCGAACTCCTTGTTACACTTGAGGCATTTAAAGGCTTTTTTGCCTTTGTGACTCCTGTCCACATGCCTTATAAGAAAAGAGTCCTTCCTAAAACATTTGCCACAAAAGCGGCACATTTTTTCATCCCTCGACGGCTGTTCCAGTTCCACGATCACTTCAATGCTGTGACTCTGAGGAGGCGATGATGATCCTTCATCACATTCGCCGCCTATGCTTTCCATTACGCTGACTGATGCAGCAGTGGTCGACGGGAATAGCTCACAGTCACCGGTCGGTTCTGATTTAGGAAGTCTTACTTGAGCCCCGTTTGAAGTAACAGCCTCCACATCTGGACTAATAAACAGATCCACCCGCTCCTCTTTGACCCGTGGGTGCTCTCTCATCTCCGTCTCCTCCTTCATGACGCTTCGCTGTAATGTGTGGAGCTCAGTTCCTCAGAGACGAGCTGGTTGTCTAAATCAAGGGGAAAAAAAGACATTAAATGGTAAATATCCGGCTCACAATTATAACAACTAGTACAAGTAAGATGTCTGCAAGGTTAAAACGTCACTTCATCTGCCAAGGTTGAGTTTTCATTTATGAAACTTCAATTCATGTTCATCAAGCTTTGGTTTTCCAACAGCAACTGAAGTAACATTAAAGCTTCTCATCTCTTACTAAAGTGTGAGGTTTAAAATTGCCTTATCCTTCATAAACACACTGTGAAATTATCAGCTAGATCCTCTATTTAACTCCTACTTCAGACATCCCCACTATCCTCCTTCCTCCGCCCCTCGCCCACTTTTAAGTACTTATGCATCTGCAGAGGAAAGTTAAAAGTCTTATACCTGCAGACGAAGTTGGATGTATATTAGAGTTACCTTAAACCTGCTCTTACACATTTATTTCGCATGTGAAATGATCTGCTCCTCGTTTTGAGTCCTCTTTTGGCGGGCAGCCCTCTTCATGACTCTCTGGTAAACACGACGAGGCTTCGGGCTTAATGTTGGCGGTAAACTGATACACGAACTTTCAAATATTGGAAGAGAAATCAGCACAGTGCAGTTAAAATAAACAGAAAACAGGAAACAGCCCGAGTTCAGCGGTCCCTGTTCAAAATCATGACGAATCTTCACCAGCGCCCCCTGCTGCCGTGGAGGACTGAGGGGGGGGGGCCTTAATAAAAAACATCAGCGTTTATGATAATCCTTTATTTATCCCACAATGGGGAAATTTACAATGATGTCACTTGGGGATATACCCTTGAGGCCCCTTTCCTAAAATGATAAACGAAAAAGTATATATTTTAAATTATAAATGATGAATAAGAGAAAATCAAGATGTTTAAATGTGGCTCTATGTTTATCAAATAAAATGCTTTTTTTTTTTTTTTTTTTTTTTTTAAATCAAATTGACCTAAAAGTAATCAACTAACTCATCATCCATCACTTTATCTTAAAGTTCACATGCATTTGTATCACTTAATCTTTTAATTCACTTCTTTTCATCGCCTCTACTTTCCTGATTTAATTTTTGTTACTTTCACCCCTCGTCGGGTTTTAAGGTTCTTAACTTTTGAAGCAAACTTAAAGATTGACAAGCAAAAACACAACTTTTTAGCACAAGATGGATTTATTTATTTGTATGCAAGCCTGAGACGTAACTTGCATTAGATGACTTTCTGCACCCTGTAAAGCTGCAAACATGAGACAACGATGACATACCAATATCATACAGCCTAATATGTCACAACGTGTTATGAATATCTGCTGGATGTACACTCAACATATCCAGCTCGACATCGGGATTGCAACCTACCGTTGAGATCAACCTTTGAAATAAATATTTCAAGGTTGAAAAGTTACATATTGTTCATTTAAGCCTCCAGTCCAGTTTTGAGCAGACAGGTGCAGCTCCCGCCTCCAACTCCAAGCTCTGCCAGAGAATAACAGTCACTGCTGGGCCAAATACAAGCAAAGTCAGAAGATGTCTCCAAATACCCCTCTGCCATTAACCTTCAGCAACCATTCAAAGATATTACAAGCCTGAATGCCGGGGTGCATAAAGCTTTATTTTCATTTCAATGCAGCCTTTAAACTGTCATGTTGAACATACTTTAAATTGTGACTTTGAACATACTTATTTTTCAGTACTTAGAGAATTAAGTGAAGAGATTTAAATGCTTCACAGATATATAAAATGTTTTAACTTGATAGTTGGTAAGTATTGAAATATTAATAACAAAAGCAATTTTTTACCCTTTCTATTTCCACTTAGTGTGCAAGTGCATTTAACACTTCCGGTGGGCTCTGTTCGGCCCCCCGTCAGTCAGTCTGCCTCCGCCACTGTCGTGTACAGCCTACAGGCTATGACAACTGTACGTTTGTGATGCTTACCTGCTTTAAATTATTTCACTTCAGGTATTAACACGGTGAGCTGTTACCAGTAAGTGCAGAAAGGACACATTTAAAAAATAAATTAACTCGTAGGAAACATATTTTAAGGCTCTGGTAGTAGGAAACTCAATTCTTCTTCCTCTTTTGTTTTGATTAAGGTTGACAAACCAGCTTAAAGGTATATTACCACCACCTACTGGACTGGAGTGTGAAGCAGTTAACAATAGCACAAAAAACAGTAAACAAATAATACTATTGAAATAATCATAAAGAGACAGACCTCCTCCAAATAATAATCCTGTTTCTTTTGAGGATTTAATTAGATGTTTGAATGTTTCCTGGAAGGTATCCCCGTAACACAAATCAGCCATCAGCGACCCCTGCTGACGCGGAAGATTTTCCTTAGTGCCGCCAGTTACGAGTTATGATTGTCAAAAAGTATACATTTATATAGTATATATTTTAAAAGGTCAAAAAGCTGGTATACAGTTCAAATGTAAACAGTTAGAACATGTCTGAAACAGTGAATGAGTAAAAGTGAATAAAAAGTCATATTGTAGTAGGCTATTAACAGGGCTATATTTCCCCCTTAAAATGCATCGTTGCAAGAAGTATTTCAAGCTTTACCTTAGTGATAGTATGAGTATAGTGTAGAAATACTCATGCATGTTGCTTTCAAAATATTTTTAAAGCAAGAGAAAAAGTATGAGCACCTAAAATGCAAAAAGTAAGTGTACTCATTGGCTAGAATCACGTGTCAGAGAAATATTCATTCAAGTTCTGGATTGCATTTTTTGATGCATTAGTGTAAAGGTATCTTTAACGTTGGTGACGCAGCTGGTAAAGGTAGGGTTAACTTCAGGTAATTATTTGTTAAAGAAACATTTAGAACTTAGTTAAACATAGATGCAGCCACCTAGTGATAACAGTTAGTTTGCAGTCAGGGACACAGAGCACCAGAAAATCTCCAAGATGAGAAGTTTATTGGTTTTGCAAAGTAGCTGTTTTTACAAAAGCATGAGGCGGTACAAAGAAACACTTTTGAGAGGAGGGGTCTTTCACCTGGGTGGTAAATGTAGTCTTCATCTAAACACTGGTCCAGTGCACATTTTCAGTGAGACCCAAAATCAAGGTCAGCTCAGGATATTTTGGGGACTTTACATCACGTCATAAACGAGAGTGCTTCTGTTATTTGTGAAGCAGATTTTTGAAAGCTGCTCAGCTGAAAAAAAAATAAATAGAAGAGACACAACATGATGCTTTGGGACCGCCTGGTTATCCTCAGACTTTGTATATCTTTTTAAAAATGATGGCTCGCCTTGCTGTATGGTTAAAAGAAAATCATTATCGTTTTGACACTTTGACCTCTACCAAGTTTTCTCGTGTCATACAGGGAAGTACAATATGTTATATTTGAATATGTCAGCGCTGAACCAAATACACTTTCATCATTATAAAAAAAACTCTACTTTCAAGATGCCTTCATATAAACGTCAGCCAAAAATGAGCACGTTACCAATACAGTAGGCATGACGTTACCACACACAACCCTGCTGGTTACACTGTAATAAATAGAAATAATAGCATGATTGTACAACCACACAACACATTAGCAACATTTCAGCCTACTTCTACTCAGACACTTCATACCGTATATGGATATCATGATGTGGCCGTTCTTACATCAGTCATGTATGTTTTAGCACTTTTTTGAAAGTCATTAAAGTCTTGCACAGAAAAGAAAAGCTCGACTTAAACGATTGGTCCATAAAGGGTTAGTTTGGTCAAAGTTCATCATGTGGTAAACCGTAACCTCCATAAATACTAGGCTGAACAGAAGAAACATAAAATGGGACCACAAGGGGGAATCCGCCCTAAAAAACACGCCTTACACAGTTGATGGCATTAAAGAAAGAGCATGCTTAAATGGACCAAACACTGACAATATAAAACCTCAACCTTTCATGTTTACAAAATGCCAGGTAGCTTACATGCACAACAAAATACTTTCTGCTGGTAAATCAGCCTGATGTTAAAAAGGAGACCAAGGTCCAAAATATATACATCCTAAGTCCATGAGCAGGGTCATGTTCCTCTTAAATCACTCTTCATTTTTACTTTCAGGTAGGAAGAGGAGGGGGGGGGGTCTGCTTCACCTTTTATTAAAACACACACAAAGAGCTGGGATTTCATCAATAGATTACAATCAGAAGGAGAATAACATTCAGTTGCCTTTCCAAATGGCTTGAGAAAAATTAAAACAAGAGTTAAAAAGAAGAATTATTATTTCTTATAGAGTTGTTCTTGAAAAGACAAGGGATCAGGAACTGGGGCCTGTTGTTTCAAACATCATTTTAAGGATGAAACACAAATGCTTTTAGAGAAGTTCTGATACCATTTTTACTTCCTGCTTCAGATTCTTAGACTTTTTATTGGCCAATATCAACAGTTGCATCGATAGGAGAAAAAATAAACATAATATACTGGTGGAGAAACACTGATTGTTGACGTTTTGCTACCTTTACCTGAATTCAGTGAGTTTTTGGAGGGCCGATAAATGATGTTGTCAGGTTGCAGCGTTGATTGGAATACTCAATGATACCCAATACAACATTTGAGGCATTATCATGAGGCCGATACAGATACTGGTATTGGTACCACAACAACTCTAAAACATAGTGAGGTTTTCTAAGCACATGTACCGAGGCTGGGTGTTTTTTGTTAGAATATGAGCTGTGAGTCCCTTAAATGACCAGCGTGTAGGAGTTAGAGGCGTCTATTGGCAGTGTGTGTGAGGGAACCGGTCCTCGTCCATGGAGTCCAGCAGCTCTTTCCGAACCAAAGACTGACACCATAGAGAATCTTTGGGATTCTTTTGACAGTTTTGCAGCGACCAAAGCTTGAAAGGGGCACTTTACGGAAAAAAGATGGTTGCAAGTTCACCACGAGTAGCTTCTAAATCCCACACTCTGCTTCTTTAAAAGAACAACCTTTTTTATTTATTTTTTTATTTTTTTAAAGTGTGCCAGTACCTAATAAGTAAGCTGGAGTACCGTGCCAGCTGATGTACCTGCACCACAACACCACCTGTGCAGAAAACCTCAAACACACCGTTTCTGAAAACTCAAAATAGTCCCAACATAATTTGCTATACACTGCTCTATGTCAAGTAAACACATAGGCAGCTCAGATCCCCACACACTCACTCACACAAACACAAAACCCTCCCTGATTAGAGCCCTTTAATTCAGAAGTCTTGAATTGCTCATCTCCCTCCTGCAAAGCTCCAAACAAAAACAATACTGACGCCAAAAACCTACATTACACCGTTTACACACACTGCTGAGTGATGATCACAACTTAACATGGGTAATATTAACATATTGTTAAAGGAAGATTGTCGAAAATGTAGTGTTGCAAATGTATAGTCACCAGTTTATAGAAAGAAAACACAAACACACCCTTCAGACACAATTGTTACTGGATTTTTGTACACTTCTGTTTGGATGTAATACTGGAGTAATGGTGCGTCACACTGGCTCATATCTCTCCCAAACTGCACTTCCCTTCATAACTAACTGTACCCGTTTCCTGCGTGTGACAAAAATAAACCAGCGGCTGCCAAGAGAAAACAAGGAAGACCCTGTCTGACCAACCAGGAGAAAACAAGTTTCGCTCCAGAGCCGTCAGTCCAGGAGCAGTGAAACTTATTGCTATATCAAAGTAACGATGATAATTACTTAACCTCTTCATGTCTCAAGATGTCATGGCTTACTCCAAAATTCACAGCAGAAAGAACGAGACGGGAAACCCTGATTGGCTGAAAGACTGAAAGAACAAATGTCCAAAAACATGGCAGCACTGAAAAGTATGCATCAAATTCTCTGCTTGATGTGAACGATAACCTCAGTAACCAAATATGGTCACAGTTTCTCATACCCAGTTGAAGTTGTGTTGGTATTTCTAGCTTTCTAAAACGTCACCTCTCTTAAAAAAAAAAAAAAAAAAAAAAAAAAAAAAAAAAAAAGGCGTTATAAGATGCGACAGATAAAATGTGTCTACCCTAATGAATATTTTAATAATGTAAGTTGCAATTACAGGAACAACTTTGTGTAAGAAAATGATATGCTCAATTGCCTTTGAAACTCCTTTGTTTTATAAGCCTGCTCTGACAGCTGAGAAGGTGATCCATTATTGTTTAGTAAGAAATTCAGGATTCTTTTATGTTATAACTACCACTCATAGCTTCATAAGAAAAGGTTTTCATAAGTAAAGGTTTTCCAACACTAATGAAAGCATAATTACCTAACACAAGGGAAAAAACTAATAGGCAAGTTCTTCTTATTTTCACATTTTAAGAGAACCTATATCATTTTACAGAGTTACTATTCATTTCTAAAGCCTTAAGCTGCAACCACTAGTTGATTTAATGTTATAAAAGTGAGGTAACTGCCATGTAGTTCAATAATCTATCAACATTTTGAAAAATGTCATTTATTGTGAAAATAGCCTGTCCAGTAATTGATAATGGAAAAAAAGTTAGTTGCAGACCTAATGATGCCAAAGGTTACATCTTATAAACCCTTTGTTGAAAAGTGGTACCAAAAAAAAAATCAATGCAGTGAAATTCTAATGCAAAGTACTCTAAGATGTTCTCAAAGTAAACTGAGCACTGACACAGACTGAGGTGTAAACAGAGCAGCTTAAGAACTTGTGATACTGTGCGTTATGCTTCGAACTAATCTCGACTGTTACAGTGTGTTTGTTATAACTTCCTTTCTGCCTCGTTAAAGGATAAGACATGCTGTGTGAAGGGGGTGGGGTTATGGAGACAAAACTATGTAATGAATTTAAGACACAAAAATGTTTACAATTATTAGACCTGCTGGCTGAATTAAACACAGATGGACCTGCTCCATGACATCTACCTGGAATGATTCAGTAAACAATTTTAAAAAGCCATAAAACACACAAGACATACTGTAGGACTGAAAACGGACCACCAACAAACTGTGACATTAACTTCATCATGTTGTGCATCACTATATCTCCTACGCTACTATAGAAACATGGATACTTTACATTCAAAATACCATCAGGATCTGATCCTGCCTCAAAAAGACTTGCTGCAACTGGATGTGACTTAAGGATTTTAGTTTCGTTTTTTGCTCAGCACACACCTGACAGCACCGTTTCTTCAAAACCAGTGCTTTTTTTTTTATGAGAATAACTTGCATACTGGTTTAGAGTACAATTTCAGATGAGGCTTGCATGAAAAATCATATTCTAAAACTAATTTGAAAATATTCTTGCCCATCAAAGAAAACAGTCAGAATTCGACTTCATGCCGGGACATTCCCTCTACATGAGAACGGCTGCAGCGATGCCTAAAATAAGTACCAACACACAGAGAGTACAGCATGGGACGATTCATGACGTAATCCTCAATTTTGGGAAATTAGGTCGATGAGTCTGCGGCGTGTTGCCATGACAACTCAAGGGATCACAGGGGAATACCCTATGGAGAAAACAGGGTGTAACTCTGCACTCCACTGTGATCAGATCAGAAAACGACTTTTAGACGATAACTGGAATAAGTAGAACTTGAAAAATCCTGTTTTTGAACCTAAGATTCATTATGTAAGCGCCTCTTAAGTCTGATACTGCGTCATTTGACAGAATATTTGTCACCTTTAATCAGTTTCTTTTAGTATCCTTTGCTTTTAATCTTAATCACAGACATTTAACAGTCCATCAACAAACTTTTGGAAGACGTTAACATGGCCAGAATTGAAGTGCAGAGTTCAAACTTTTAATCAGCCACTGGAATTTGAGATTCTTCCATAATCAACATTTTGTCATCATATTAGTTTGTTCCAGATCAACTCGTTTCTATGATATCCTCATTATGTTCCCATCACTTAAGTGTTCTTGACACCTGCTTCTGCCTGAGCATCCCAAAAGGATTCACCATGAAGTTGCTATTAATAAACCATAAGATCCCTGAACTGACAGAACTGTGGCTACGAAGAGGAAAAACCTGAAAATGGAGCGAACACATTCCCCATCAAAGCTTCATCATATCAGATCCCGATTAAATATAAAGGAATGAAAAGAAGTGAATGAACTCTAACTTGTCACAGCCGGAGCCCTTTTCCAGTTGCTTTGTCTCTGCCGTGTTGCATGATGGGTAACGGACAATGACGTAACAGGCGTGTACTGTGTGTGTGTGTGTGTGTGTGCGCGCGTGGTCTTCTTTGATCGAGTCCTTGCTTCACACTCACTTGCAGAAACAGGAGGAGCGGGAAGTTAACCCAGCTTGGTGATCTGTAGATCACCTTGTATCCGTACTGTGTCGATAGCGGGCAAAGATTTTACTTTGTGATAAAAGTCAAAGAGCTGGTGTCCGTCCACGAATATCCGGAACCTCTGGTGCTCGCAGTGGATCTCAATCTGCAGCGATGATGGGAGAGACACGGACAAACAAGGAGAGGGAGACAGTGAGAAGCTTAGATGTCAGAACTCATCAATACTATAAACTGAGATTAAGTAAAGTACATGAAAGAAAATATCAGTGTATAAGGAAGTAATGACATTGGCATTAGTGCATCGAAGAAATGAAAGGAAAGCTTCAATGTTGGTGCCTTCTCACCTTCTTTACAAGCAAAAAAATAAATCATCTGCCAAGTTTCTCTATGGTTTTTCAACACATTAACATTAGTTAAATCTGCTCAAAAACAAACTGTTAAAATGTCAAGTTTCTCACTGGTCCTCGGCTTCTAATCCGTGTGCTTTGCTAACACACCGCTTGCTGTAGCATTAAAGGTAAAGGACATGCATAGTGATATTTATCATCTCATTAGGCCGCCGTCAACAAATGTTGCAGCGTTCCTTGAAGCAGATCTCTGCCTTTTTAAAAATAAAATAATTTGAAATCCCTTTGTGTCCAAAACACTCCTTCACATTTGATATTAGTTGATGATGATGATGACTTAGCGATGCAAATTTAGTCAGCTAATACATTTACAATGAGCTAACTCTAATATGTCACTTACAAAATCAGAGATTTATTTAAACTATGAGCAACTGCATGGGGTGAAACTGATAATCTGCTTTAGTTCTGTTTACACACATTAATCCAACAGAGAATTATTCTGCATAAAGAGACCAAACCACAACAATAAAAAAAAAAAAGCACGATCAAGCCTCCTAAATGTCAATCATCAGCTTTCACACCACCCAAAAAAATGTTAGTCCAACATTCAACTGTCGCTCTGTTTATCGCCACTAACTCCAAAAAGAAATGTCTTGCTATTTAGCTTGTACATTTCAACAGCAGGATGCTAACTTTTTCACACTTTTGAATGTTGATGTGACAATATTAATCCCTGCAGCCTTAACTTAATACAGGAAACAATCAGAACGCTTAATGAGAAGAATGTGAACATTTTATTGCCAGCTGCTAATCCTGTTTGTAATCTATTATGAAGTCTTAACAAAGCCAAATCAAAATCCAGACTGATGCTTAAAAAAAAAAAAAAACATTTTTTGTATCCAGACATCCAAATGCTGTCTGATAAATAAGCAAAAAGGAAGTATATGTTACTTTTCCATAAGAGCTCTGGCTAACCTCAACCAACCAAACCACTTTCCCTACAGTATGTTTGGAGCCATAGACAACCAATCCTGTAGATGTGATCCCACCTCCCAACACTGACTGTTTCACTGAACTCTAGCCGTCCTGCTCTGAAACCACAACTCATCATGTGTCTGTCCACATGCCTGAGAGTTTGTGAAGCAGCAATCTGCACGGTAGCTTTAATCTACAGCCTCCAGCTTTTTTTTAGCAGAGTCATGAATGTGCTAACCTGCGTGGTCACGCTCTGACAATAAACAACGACACTTTATCAGGGAGCTGACATTACATAACCAGACACAGGGATCAACTCCTAAAATAGGTCAAAGCTAGTGGTTGTTTTGTTGAGGCGCGTTGTGCTTTCTTTACGGCCTAAACCATCCTTCTTTTATCATGAATGACTTCAAATGTAGAATTAAAGTCCAGTGACGTCACTTTCGAAACTGTCACACACCGTATGTCTTACTCATGTGCATATTCAGAATTATTAGAGCGGAACATGACGTTACAGAGTCCCCTCTGGTCATATGAGAACTACTCATCCTGCATTATAATGCTCAGTCGTCTACTTCATCCACACGCATAAACAGCTGATGCTGCCGCTAATGTGGTTAACAGCCCGCTACACAGAACACAGCCTTAATCTACAGAGGATCTACAGAGGATGGATATAATGAAGCATGGAAAGCATTTCCTGTTTTTTCTCTTATTTCTACATGCAAAGGGCAATTACTAGGAAAGACATAAACTATACACAACATTCCTATTTGAGGTGAAAATAACATTTTTTTTTAAATTACTGATGAATATGTCCTTTTAAGTAATCGATTTATCGTTTCATCAGTAATGTTCCATAAATGTAAAAAAAAAATAATAATTCTCTTGACAATTTTATAACCCACATAGGCAGGTCTTCATTTTTTTTCTGTCCACATTTAAAAATGTAAAAGCCTCAGTGAAATAAACAAGGGAAATGATGGTGCATACTGAGATTTTTCATTAGCATGAGGCTGCAGGCCAAATCACAGCTGTGCTGATGTTCAGTACAAAAAGGACTCCCTTATGTACAATGTTCTTTAATTAACCAACAATCTCAACTCACTGCCAACTGTTTTCCGCCGACACTGGAACAGTGAATCTTTACACTTGTGTCTTGTTTCTTAACTCATTTTTCACGGGTTTTTATTTCCCTTTGCTCAATTTCATGATCGCCTTCTTTCCACCGCTGTAACAGTTTGAAAGTAGAACAGTGCTTGAAACAGCTATGACAACACGTGAGGGTATGTGATGTGGTCAAACAACTTCTCTTCAAGAACACTGCAGTACAACGTTCTGACTTTTAGTCCTTTTGGTTATTACATAATTTACTTTGCATTGCAAGACTGTTTAAAGCAGAATCAGAGCAAAAATATGATAAAGTATTTGCCAAATAAGATCCAAAGGAAAAAAGATTGAAGTACACCATAGAAGCTGGAAGCAGGAGGAAACGAGAGCTCCCCCCCTATATTTATAAAAGTACAACAAAAAATAACAAACTCTCAGCCTGCACACAGAGATCACCACAATCACTTCAGTAAGAAAAGGATGTTTACCCTAAAAGGCTGATCAGGGATGAAGGGAAAGTAGGAGGTGGATGCCTCCTCCCCAACCCATTTTCCAGAGACACGGGCGCTGCTTAGGAACTGGCGGTCAGAGAAGCGGGCAGTCAGTTTCAGGGCCACGTCATGTGGAGGCTCCTCCTTCTCCGAGTCCCGGCCACAAGTCAGGCTAATGTCAAAGCTGAACGAGGAAGGTAAACAGAGGATTGAGGTGGCGACAGATAGCATATGAGCCCAATTACTAATCAGGATTAATTTAAATTTTGCTGCTGTGTAAAACCCAACCATTGCTTGTTAATTATGCATAATCCATGCTGCCGGGTTTGGTTAACCGCCCCTCCCCTGCAGCTGTGCTGTTTACACACAACCCTCTTTGTGTGAGTGTGTAGACATGATTACAGTCTCCAACTTGCTGAGGAAACAGTTGTGTATTTTGAGCCTCGGAGCTGCTTTGTTGGACAGAACGTTCACATGAACTTTGCCATGAAAACACTACCAGCAGCAGCCACTGAGCGGGATGAGGTCACTGAGGGGGGGTTTCTTCCAAGTTTGACAGAAGTTTCCATGTAGTGTAAGGACACACCCAAACAAGCCTGCCTTGCATGGTCTTCTTTTTCCCCTTTTACCCCCCCTTTTTCCACCCAGCTTGTTGGGGGGGGGAACGCCCTGTCTCTGCATACTTAACAAGCCACTGTTCTCTCTCTCTCTCTCTGGCTGCCCACGCATTACTCACTGTGTCCTGGGTGGCTGTGCAAGTCTGACTGCCTTCAGAACAGAAAACACATGCCCAGATTATCTGTGCATACGCATGACATAATAGTGTTTTAAACATAGTGTAAAGAACGCACGACCACAGATAAGGATAGTGTTCATGCACTGTTGAGCGTTATCTTACCTGTCTGGCTCCAGGTCGACAATGCCCATCACTATGATCTTCTTCCCTGGCCGCATGCCGCCCCGGATCCGCCCGTTGAATGGCACAGTCTACGCAAAGTACATTAAATTCATTACGCACAGCCCGGGACGAGCGCCAAACAAGGACACTTAGGAGGTAGCTGAGGCTATTCCCTACCAGGAGACGTGCTATATCCTCCTTGTCAGGTGAGATGAGGCCAGGGTTCCCCGGCGAGTCGTTCAGGTGGTCATCCTCAACGGTCTGCAACACCAGTGACAAAAGACACAGCATGCAGACTGTCATTTACAGAGTGCTTAGGTAAGGAATAAAGTGACCTGGCGTGGTTTAAACACACCCATAAGGCTTGCAGGCCCTTATATCAACACAAACACACACATACACACGCACACTGTGTGGCCTTGCACGCGGGGAAACTCGACAATAACGAGGTGGCAGAGAGGACCTGTCACGTTGCTGTCAGGTATCCGTGTCGTAAACCAAGTGAGAGCATAATAAGCCGCGTAAAATCTGCAGTTTTAATGCGACACACACAACCTCACATTCAGTACACCGCTTGACCAAGCTTAGGTGAGCGCGCGCACACAAACACACACACACACACCGGTACATTTCACCTCACCACGTATCGGATTTCCTCTCCGGCTACACATGAAAGAGGAGTCGGGTCGCAGTACGCCGGACACTGTAGCCTACTCTGCATTTTCAATAAGCGCCGGATAATCGTCACAACGCCGAAATTCCAAGTGCGTTATCCACTCAGCAGTCATTTATTCTTCACTTCACCCCCCCCCACCTACCACCCCTTCCCGGGCCCCCGTGCAGCTCCAAAATACTCACTATTCCGTCCTTTTCCGCTGCCTGCACCGCCATCTTGAGCTGAATAGCATAGGATGCTTATTATCGGAGCAGAGGCTGCCCTGCCGGAGAGTGTGGTGTGTCAGCGTCGTGGCACTGACAGGAGGATATTCCTGTTCCTGCCTCTGTTCCTTGGTCTCTTCGCGTCTGACTGGGCCCCTACAGAGAGCACATGCACCGAGCAGGACACCCCCCCCACCCCCTCTCTCCCTCCTCCAGCTCCTCTGTCCGCCTGCAATGGGTGGATATCTGCTGACGTTTGCTTTATAATAATTACTGCCTAAAAGCTTAATCCCCTTCTGTTGGGACGAGGCTAATCAGACAGATTTTCCTTCAACCCTTCACCCAATTAAGCGACGCACTCTTCTCTGCTCTTTCTATTTACAGTCGCAACAGTCAAATTCATAATTTACATTTAGCAACTGGTTAGTATGTCAGCTCACAGAAATGCAGCTATCGTCTGCTCAGTTAAAATGTGACACAGTTGGGCTCTGGCCTAATTGGGCAAAGTGTGCACGCTCAATACATTTGAATGATTGAATAATACTGCAGGCTTTGGTGGCTATGAATAGACCAGCTTCCGAACATTAATTGCCTTCCAGTGAATGAAGTGTACATTCACATTGTCTCCCTTTCATTGACTTTAGCTCGGACCACCCCCTCCATCTCTGTCTCCATGTATCCGTCCGTTCCTGTGCGTGCTAACATCTCTCTCTCTCTCTCTCTCCATATGTGTGCATGTCTCTCGCTCGGCCCGACTGTGTTTGACTGGTCCACTCTGCCCCCTTGTGGGTGTTTATAGGTATTACAAGCCAGAAGCAACCTTTCAAAGTCCTTTCCCATAGATTGTTGATGCATCAGCCAATTAAACGCTCTCAAAGCCGTTTATACCAGGGATTGAATACATCCAATTACATCACACAGTCCTATAAGGACATTATATCTGCTTTTATCCTTGTGTAGTCATTTACCATTCGACATTAACTTGATAGAAAACATTTGACATAGGACAGGAAGCAAAAACTATGGCAGGTGTATTAGCATGCACTACCTTCACAGTGTCAAAATCAAATTCATGTTTACATTTTAGAACTTTATAGTTTGTTAGCTGATTAAGTCTGGACCAGTAACCCTGAGCAGAAGAGTTGTGTCCTGCTTACGAGAACAAAAAAGACACTTGAAGAAAAAAAAAGATTTACCAACTCTTATTTTTCCAACCTCAGAGACGCTGCTCAGTCAGTGACATATGATAAAGGGTTAAGATCGGTCCAACCCAATTCAGGCTGGTTTGAAAGCTATACCATCTGAATGGAAGCAATGCTAGACCAGATGGCAACCCCTGGGGCTGAAAAATGAAGCAAAAGTAACAGAAGTGCCAAAACTGCAGTTTTTTGACTGGCCAATTGAGACTTAAGGGAGTCATCCCCCTTAAAGGCCTTCAATCAAATGTTCATTTTACAGCAGAAATAAACATGATTACCGCCTGGTACAAAATTGTTAGGTGATCATGAATTTGTTATCTCATGTGATTTCACTTTTAATTTAATTAAGGCATAAAGTTAGGGCTTGTTGGCTCAACAGAAATTACATTGACATTTTTAACTTGCTGTCCAGCCCCCTCACATTTCAATTACTGCACCTCTGGCTCAAAAACCAAAAACAACAAAAATAAACAAGGCGATGACCAACACACTGATAACATACATAAATAGATAACATAGTAGTGACTTCAACCACTCCTTTTGTACAGTGTGAGAGCCTGAGCATCTGCCTGAAGTACAGAATATAGCCTACTGTTAACTTGTAGCTTCGTGAAGGAAGTCGAGCCTCTGTCACAAATGCATCGACCTTCAGTGTTTTAAAGGAAACAAAAAGACATGAGAAAGTGAAAAAAATTCAAATACAGAGGAACATGAAACATACTTTTTGCTTGTTTATGTATGGATTGATCCACTGTTGTCTCTGCAGGTTTAAATGTTTTTGTACATGTTAGCCTGAATTAATTAAATTTAATATATGTATTTTATATAATAAAACTTAATTATATGGGACATAAACTGTGATTTAAGGCATTCAACAGAATGCTGAGTACTAAAATCGAGTTCAAATAGCTTCCTTCTAATAAAACATGTTCACCCGTTGTTGAAGTCCTTATAATTATCTTGTCTTGTGCTTCCCTCTAGTGGTTTTCTGTGGGATCTAAGGCTGTATCATTTTTTGAAAAAAGGAGAAATGTTGGACATTTCTTTGATGCCAAGGTGCAAACATTGAACCCTCCTTGATAAAAGCAAGCTGACACATCTTTACACCTTCGGGAGGCAAAGGAATATTACAAGCAAACAACACCCCTTGAAACAGACAGACACATTGTAGGCTACTATTGGCCATAAAGGAAATTAGTGAAAGCTGTCACTCTCCTTCTGACAATTCAAACACTCTATGAGATCAATGTATCTGGTGTTTATTTGAGTCTAACATGTGTAGCATGGTAATTTGGTATAGATTTGAAGACCAGTTTCACTTCATTAAAATGAAGGCCTCATCACAAGGCATGAAATTGCATGTTACAATTTCTTTTTTTGTGTTCCCAGTGTGAAAATAACTCTGCATCTACAGGTCAATTGGGCCTACTCCTCCTACAGGTTGGTTCAAGTTGTCTAAAGATACAGCAGCTAAAGATGAACTATCCATTCTGGAGCAGCGTTGTCACGAAATTAAGTATAACAGATCAGAAAGAAAAAAAAAAGATGTAGCCTAAGTGAGTTCTATTCAGTATTTGTTCTTGTTGGCATTTAAATCACACAGTGTGTCGAGAGCAGTCCCACTCCCTCTCCATCTATCTCTCTCCCTGTCTGTCTCTCTCTCTCTCTCTCTCTCTCTCTCTCTCTCTCTCTCTCTCTCTGCAGAGCTGGCTGTCCGCTCTTCTCCCTGCTGCCATGGCTGCGGAGGCTGCAGGTCAGGATGATGTGACGACAGGCCCTGCGGACTTTACGGAAATGGAGGACAGGGTAAGTCGACTTTGATCATTTTGGGTGTGCTGTCCCAGCGTAGCTCAGGTTTCAGACCGTCTCTTGAACGCAGGCCCTGCATGGCACGCTGCTGCTGCTGCAGCAAGATGGAGAGCAACTCGATCTGCAGCGAGCGAGACGCACACCGGCCGCTGCGACGTCATGCATTTAATGTTGTGCGTGCATTTTTAAAGTCAAGAAATAAGGTTAAGAAAAGGGGGACGAGATGTTTGGTATTCAGTGAGACGATGGAGATCACATCCTGTCTGTGTGACGCGATGATGTGAAGGGGAGAAGTGAGAGTGCAGCAGCAGCAGCAGCAGCAGCAGCAGCTGGTCGCTCGGTGGATGTGGGGCTACCGGAACTCAGTTTACATATTACCGCCAGATCGGCCGTTCTTTCACGGATTGTGCCTCTCTCACTCGCCTGGTTGTTTTCCCCGGTAAGGGATTTGAACGCGCCTGTTTTGCCCGTTTTCTTCCACTTGGCGGTGACGCCAGCTGACAACAACTTGGCAGGCAAAGGTAGGGGCATTTATTTCCCCCCCTGATCAACAGAGCAGAGCCGCGAATGAATGAATGAATGAATGAATGAATGGATGGATGAATGGAAAGAGAGGCTTTGTGATTGAGGTCATTATCAGAGGAGAGTGTCCAGCAGGAGCCTGAGGATGCACAATGATTGTTTCTATAATGACAGGAACGTGGAACTGCGACTGTCTCTTCGTTTGCTGATTACCTAACAATTCTGCATTTGGATGAAATGTTTTTGACTTAAATTCTTCAAACAGAATTTTACATAACCCAGAGTAAGTAGGTTTTAATTTGGAAACGTGGATTCATTTTATGCCATGGCAAGTTTTTCAGGCAAGTTGTAACCATGACACATTTGTTCAATATTTGTATTGTGCAAAAATGAATTAGCTCCAAAAAAACTCCTAATCTTCTCTGAGTTCTGACACCTGTTACAGCCGAGGATTCTGGGAGGGTGTGTGTGTGAGTTATAGGGTATTCTTAATACTTTCTCCACCTGCTGACATAACTGAACCTGTTCCTCCACTTTGCATGGCGTTGGCAGAGATGTTTGTGTCATCTGATGTTCACATGCTTTTTAGTCCTTGTCTTCAGTCTCTGGACTCACTCATCAGCAGCTCTTCATCCTCTTTACTTCCTCCTTTTTTTTGGTCTCCATTTTCTCTCAGGGGGAGTGCTTGTTTAAGTTGTTCCTTTATCCTTCATCAAGTTAACGGTCCTGCCCATGAGTGTATCCTTTTTTTTTTTTTTTTAAGAGTTATCTTAGAGATAGATCTGAACTGATCTTGAATTAGCTTTTGGTATATCACAACATGGGGTAATCCAAGCATAGTTCATTTCTCTGTTTGTATTCTGCAGATGTAGGCTATAGTGCCAAAGGTGAGGCAGACCAAATGTGTCAGATTACGCAATGCAATCGCCCTAATCTCCTCGCTGGAAAATGAGAGATGCTGGATTAAAAGCGGGAGTGGGTTGGAGACATGGGGGGGGGACCCATAAAAGAATGCTGTTATAAGAGATTACTGGGCAAAGGATTGTTTTACGACCCAAATACTTAGTCTGCTGCAGCCTGACTTTTTATTGCCAGAAGCAAGATTCTTGTTGGACTTTCGAAGTTTCTTTTCTTTTCACACTTGCATTCTGGAAAAAAAAGTTTAATCCAGTGCCCACCTGGTTTGCAGTGTGAAGCCATTTCACACCACCAACACTCCTACTGATGGAGCTACACACTTCTGACAGGGGTCACCTGAAGTCAGGTGTTATTGGTTGTTCAACTACTGTGATTTATTGCATGTTAGGATCTCTACCCAAGTTGTTGTTATTGAGCGGCTGTTGGCTCAGTTGGTAGAGTCGTCGCCTCTCAACTGCAATGTTGAGGGTTCGATCTCCAGCTGAGCAACATGTCCGATTCGCCTTGGGCAAGACACTTAACCCCACATTGCTCCCTCTGCTTCAGTGGTGGTGTATGAATGGATTAGTTACTTCTGATGGATGCTACTACATAGCGACCTCTACCATCAGTGTGTGAATGGGTGTGAATTGGTAGGTGTGGCATGCAGTGTAAAAGCGCTTTGAGTAGTCTGAAGCGCTTTATAAGCTCAAGTCCATTTACCATTTACCACTGAAGTCTTATTTGCAGGCGACACCCTC